AATCAGCTTTTCGTTGGTACACAAACCCTCTGGGGATCAAAAAGATTCACCCATCTTGCAACCCACTGCATGGGATGGGACATTCATGCAATGAGGAGTTAAACTGTGGAAGTCCTTGTAGTTGGGTATTATGAATGTAAACATTTCCATGAATTCCAAACAGAAAATGGAAAAAGCGATGGAGAAGAAATCCATTTGAATAACACAAAGAAACGACAACTGGCTCAAGAAGTCCCTCAGCTGTCAGGGAGCTGCCAAGAGTGAGGGTGCTCCACAAGGGCACATAAGTCAGGAGCCAAGGACTATCCCAGCACACGGGGCAGTGCCCTCACCAGCTGGGGCACAGCTCCACTGTACCCAAGCAGCTTGGTGGCAGTGACAGGGTCTCTCTACAGTCCAGCAATCATTAAACCAACAGGCCTTGCTGGCCCTGACCAGCCCCACCTGGGGCCTCCACCCACAACCACTGCTCATGAGTGCAGGGGCTCCATTCACACTCAGGCCAGGGCCTTCAGTTTCTGTGTGAGCTGTGTTGTGGGCATACCTCTTTCTAGTCCTGCCGTTGAACTGTTTGGCTTTCCTCATTTGAACCTGGACCCAACACATTACCTTGTTTCTGCCTGGTGATCACTGAACTGTTCATAGGACCTTCTTTTGACCAACCCTTCTCTAGCTGCTCAGTTCAAGAGCTGTCGGACTGCACCTTCTACATGAGATCATTGCTCAGCCTTCATGGTGGCCATCCTTGGCTCCTGGCTTGTTCTCTGTTGTGGAAGAGTCTTGCTCTTGCTGCTCCCTGGCAGTTAGCTCAGGCTTTCTCAGGCCCTGACCTGAGTACCACGGAGCCTGGCCTTCAGGCTAAGCCAGGGCTTGCCCCCACAGCCTCCCTGCACCTAGGTGTCATAAGACTTGACCCCATGGCCACCCTGCAGTTTCAGTTTCAAGCCCAAGCTCCACGGGGAACTGTGATCAGTATGCAAAGGCAGATCTCAGCCCTGTAGGCTTCTCTAACCTTCTCTGCACCCAGAATGACACCCCCTGCCCACCGATGCCTTTAGTGCCTTTTGGCAGCATCTAGGCTTTATCATGCTCCAAATCAGCAGACCTCAAGGAGCATCTCAAGGACAATCTGGTATGTGTCTTGATCTGCCTCTCTACCTCCATTGTCAGTGCCCCATATTTTTTGTCAAAAAGAAGTATGAGGGTTTCTGATCCTTCATGGAAGGAGCCTTCCAACTTAAGGTGGCTTCAGCCTACCTGGGATCCACATGCCAGCAGTTGGGGTCCACCAGGTATCCCAGGAACTCGACCCTGTGCTGTTGAGAAAAATCTCTGTGGTTTGACATGGAGCCACTACTGCACAAGTGACTCAGGACTTCCCTGGCATAGTCTGCGTGCCTGTTGAGCACAGAGAATGTGAAGATGTCAAGAATGCCACTACACAGTTATCAAGCACGCTGTGCAAGATATCACTTACAAAATGATGGAAGGTGGTCAGAGCACAGAAGAGACTAAATGGTATCACAAGATCCTCATAGTGTCTGTATGTGGTTCACAAAGCAGTTTTCCACTCCTTCCGTTCTAGCATGCAGGAACTGCAGAGTATCTTACCACTTGCCAACTTCTTTTGATGACTTGTAACAGGGTTTTTCAGTTTCATGGCTCCTATAACAGCACCTGCTTGCAAGGGACCTTGCTTTTGATGGGCATAAGAAGAACAGGAAGCTTCTGAGGAACTGAAACAGGCATTCACCACAAGCCCACCCATTCGTCACAGTCCCACCCAGGCCCTGGCTGGTATTTCATTGTGGAAGCGGATGCTTCTGTGTCACAGGGGTCATGCTCTCCCAGAATCTGGCCCAGTGCAGGACCCAGGACCCTATGTCTATTCCTCTAGGCAGCTCACCCCCACTGAGAGGAATTGTGGCATCTGAGAAAAGCAGCACCTGAAAATCAAAGCTGCCTCTCAGGAGTGGTAGCACATTCCTGAGGTAGCAGAAGAACCAACAGTGGCGCTGACCTTCCCCCAGCACCTGGAATACAATTGAGGGATGAGTTGCTTCTCTCCCCACCTTGTCTGTCAGGCTTCTCTCTCCACACTTTGTTAACTGTCTGTTCATCTCCAACTTTGATTTCCAAGCCAAATGTCTGCCAGCCACACCAGCTGCCTCACGTGTACCCGTACTCAGTGACCATCAGAGCGTGGGGTTTGTTGGTGCACCTTGCAACACAGTTGCCACTTTTACCACAGTAAAAGCAATCCCCTTTTCTCCATCTGTGTTTTCATTCTTGGGATGAGGGGTGAGGTAGATGGTGCCTATGTCCATGGACTTTTCCTCTGGGGATAGTAAGGGAGGTGGAGCAAAACATGATGCAGGTCTCCTGGCAGAGCCAAGTACTTCAGTAACAGGCCTGTCTGTGACAGGCTGCCCCAGGCTCTGGGGTAGGCCAGTCCTAGCCATCTCATTTCTGAGGGCCTCAGACAGTCCTAGACTCTAAGAGAGCCATAAGGGCTTGCTCCTCACACTCAGTTTCCCCAGTAAACTCCATTAATTGAATTGTGTAGTTAGTAGCCAACTACTTCCCCTGCTGGAGCTCCAGCAGGAGGGTCTTGGCCACCACACGGTTGTGGTCCTCTCAGAGTCAATGAATAAGTCATTATGTTTTGTAGCATAGGGCCATTGTCTTCCACATGGTCCAAATCCACTCCTGGGTTGCCCTGAGAGCCAGGAGATTATTACTCCCGAGCATCTGATGTTCCTTGGGATGTACAGCCCCTGGGTAGGCTGTAAAGATAGCCACATTCAACTAATAAATCCCGATACCATTGTCTGAGTCGCCACTGAACAGTTCTAGGAGCTGGGGAGCAAGAGACGCTGAAGCAGCCTGAAAGGCTGTGCCACGTCCCTCCGTGCTCACCATCGCTTCCTGCAGGATTCTGAGGTTAACCTGCAGCTGACGGGCAGCCTGAAGGCCAGGCTCTGTGACAGTCAGCTTGGGGCTTGAGATGCTACCGGTCAGGCAGCAGCAAGGCTGGGCCTGCTCTGCAAGGGATGACAAGTGAAAAGCTGAGGGAGACCATACCACAGAGGGACCATGATCTCATCAACCAGGGCACAGCATCCAAACAGGGCAGCCTGGTGACAGTTACAGATTCCATTGAGAGTCCAGTGATCACCAGGCAAATGCAAGACAGCAGGTCAAGTAAAAGTGCAATTCATGAAATCCAGTCAACCGTAGCTGCAGGGCACAGGGCTAGGCATGCGCTTGCCATCAACACAGCTCAGGAAAGGGATGGAGGCCAAGGTTTGAGCATAAACGGAGCTACCCCCACAGCTATGTCGGGAAGTGTGCACTGGCATGTACCTTAGGCTCCGGCTTAACTCCAGTGCAGTCTGGAGAGGAGAACGTACCATAAACTAAGCAGCCACAGGAATCGCTCCAACCATCTTACCCCTTCTAACCGGAGCTTAAAACCCAGGCCAAATATGTCTTCAAGGTGTTAACGTCAATGACAAAAGATTATTTTCATGCTCTCTCTCCAGGCCCTGCAATCACTCACCGCTACACCCGTCCTGAAAAAGTGGTGGGGAAGGAGCACAAACACAGGAACAGGCAAGAGAGATGGTAGATTCAGGCTTGCCAGTTCTTCTGACATGAACAGAAAAGTTGGAAATAAGGCCTGTGAGACCAGCCGCTCCCAGTCCACAATGATTAAACATTATAGCATCCCAACTTCCTGATTAAAGTCAAGGACAGACTTTGGTTGTGGATTTTTGTTTGTTTTACTTTAAATAGAAGCCTTACACTGACACCTAGGTTGCAGTCCTAAGCGACAGAAAGACTGGTCTCTCTGTTGTGAAGTACTAAAAGTGAACATGCCTGTATCTTAAATACAAATTGCAGAATTTGGACAACAAAATTGTATTTTATAAACTGGATTTCAATGAAAGGGGAAATTTATAGTTACTCAATCCATTTTCAGACTTAAAATTCAACTGTATGGATTGTGTTATTGGAAACCAAACAGAACAACCAACTAATAAAAGATGCACTAAAAAGAGGTAGATAAAAGAAATCCAGGTGTTCCTTGACCAAAACCAGGTATTACACTTGAAAAAAAAGTCAAATTACTGTCACACGTGCAGTCACTGCATTAGGAGAAAAGTTATCTCCCAGCTAAACTATTCAGAAAAATTATACCAAAGTTATCACTAAAACAGGCAAAATAAAATCTGTCTCTACTGCCTGCTTGATTATCACTTTTTTTAAGAGTGTGCTGTCATTTAGAATGAAATGTTAAATAAAGGGGATATCATTTAAGTCTTTAGCAACCAGAAACTCTCAAATTAAAATCACCTCCTTAAGCACTGCAGGTACCTGCACAGACATAGAATTTCAGCACTAACATTTTTGCCCGAGGTAAACCCAAGTCCGATGTCCTTGGGTTTATTCTAGTCTCAGCTTGCTCCTGCTCACACACCTGTACGCTTGTTTATGACACCCAGCATGACATGATGCAACTTAAGAAGCACAGTAAAAGGTCAATCATTTTAAACCCATGCCATTCGCATCCCTAACAGTGTTTTTTTATGTGCAATTCTCTCCATGCTTCAGCTGAGATAGCTTTTATTAAAAATTACTGATGAACATTTTAAATAGGGCTGCACTTATCTGTACAAACCCACATTTTGTTAATTGAATCAGCCATACCGTACAGTATTAACGTAAAAGGTGCAATAATTTCCTAGTAAATTACTGCCACATAACTATGCATTTTTCCAAGGCACAGTATGCAAAAGAACTCCCATAATGGTGGATCAGCCTACCACAGGAAAATTTTAACCTTCTAATGAGACAGCGGGACACGTTTAGCTTGTTCTTTGTATCGAATGACATAAGGCAGCACAAGCAGCACAACAAGGAAATTCAGGTGTCTGGGGTTCTTCATCATAGTCACAGTGAACACTGGTCCCGTATACAAATGAGATACAAAGCTGTAAAATATGGGAATATAATTTTATTGTGTTAACCTGCATATGTATTGGTACAGCTGTTCTGTGAATGCTTCCGAGGAAAATTTTTCCATAACTCTGACTCTCCCAGCTGCTCCCATTGTATCCTTTAAGAGAGGATCTCTCACAATTTTTTCCATGGCCTCAGAGAATTGCGTTGGCAGAGGATCACACAAAAATCCTGTAACATTATGTAAGATTGATTCTAAAGGACCACCCGAATTAACGGCTACAACTGGACATCTCATATACATTGCCTCCAGAGGAACAATGCCAAAATGTTCATTGCTTGGGGTATAAAGCACACATACAGAGTTACTAAAAAGCGATATTTTCTGTTCATCTGAGAATGATCTCAGAAAAGTAACATGGTCGTTAACACCAAGCTTGGCTGCGAGTCTCCTCAGTTCTTCATAGTGCTCCACATTTTCCAGAACTCGTTTATCATAGCCACCTGCCATAACCAGGTGAACTTCATCCCACTCATGAGAATCCAGTCTTCCTCGAAGCTCGTGCAAAGCTTCAAGGGCCAGTGATAGATTCTTTTTTCTCTCATACCTATTTATGGAAAGAAACAAGAACTTTTTCTTTTTGGGTATCAGGTCAGATATGTCCGTGGGAACCACTGTTTCAAAGCTACTGATGTTGAGCGATGGGTAGAGGACATCTGGGTTTACGTGAGATAAGGACTTAAATGTGTCCTTGAACACGCTGGCGGTGAACCTGCTGTTGACAACAATACAGTCCGCCATGCCAGTCGTGTCCTCTCCCAGCCAGTCGAGTGGTAATCTGTAGATGCGCTTTAGGAGAGATTCTCTCTTGGTCAGAAGCTGATCAGGGAAGTGACAGTAAAACAAAACCTTCTTACGGGTTCTGGCCAGTCTAAGTACGGGAATGCAAGCAGACACCTAGTCCAACCAGGAGAGACAGGACAAGAAGAGACATTCATTATTTGGGTTAGCTACCGCTGGCACTCAGATGTGATTTCAAAGCCATACCCCAAGGGGGGCCAGTCCTGTGCAAGCCAAGTGCCACCTCCCTCTTCCCTCCAGCAGCCCATCAAGCTGCGCTCCCTCCGTCCAGGCCCTCTTGCTGCGACCCCTTCTCCGCCAAGACCCCTCCCCCAGGCGCCTCCTCCCGCTAAGGCCCACCGCCACCGGA